TCTTGTTGGTTCATTGGAAAGAGGACACTTTTATTAACAGTTTGGGAAATTTTCATACCTATATTCCCAGAACTGGATTTTACACGAATTTTTAAAATTTAATCGGTGAAAATTGCAAAATTCGAAAAAAATATCGAGTATTTCAAAAATTTATTTTTCTAAACGGCTTTTTGCATTAAGAAGAGGATGCTTTAATTAATAATCGAAAGTGATAACAGCGACAGTTCTGTTAGTAATGAATGTGATGATGAGTTATAAGCGAAGAGAAGGAAACCAGACGAAACTGTAACAAAAGATTTTATATATCGGATTGGGATTGTTACAATGATGTTGATAATTATAAATAAAGTTGTATTAAATGAAAAAAGTCCTATTGGGGTTGAACTTGATTATTATCTGCAGTGTCCAACACCTAAAAGAGATACTAATTTCTGTGAATGGTGGAGTACTAAGTAATAGGTTTCAACACTGTGTGTAGATCTCGGAGGACGAGGACAACCTGCAGAGAATGCTTTTTCAGAAAAAAACAACTACCAAGTACCATATGACGATATCAGTAGCAAAGTCTAAAGCACTATACGTATCGAAAAAGTTGAGAAGATGCGAACTGGCGATATATAATAAACCAGTTAAGCAGGTCATAAGTTCTAAATATGTCGGCGTCAGCTTCACAAGTAGCAGAGACGAATATCGGAGCATTTGCGAAATTTAATATGGCGAAATAAACACATGACATACAAAGTAAAAGCCGCATATACAAGACCTGCGTAAGACCTGTTATGACTTACCCTGTGGAAACAAGTGTTGAAAACTCTACAACAAAAAGAATCATTCCAACAGCACAGATGAGGACCCTTGATGAGGATCCATAGCAGGCTACATCGTGAGGGACCAATAAGAGTAGCGAAGAGATTCGAGTTGTTAGAAGAGAAATTCGTAAAAAGAAACAATAGGAGTAGTTTTAAGATGTAGCCAAAATTGTATGTAAATGTAAATACAAATACAAATGCTGAGTCACACTATGGTAACAAGTAATCTGCATTAACTGTTAAGTTATTTAAGAAAGGTAATTTTAAAGATTTTTGCAATAAGCCTTGCAGTTGAATTTTGTATGCCTGGTAATTTAATAGTTAAGATAATTCCTGAAATTTAATCCAATTGGGTTAAGCTTGAAATACAACAAATCGGTTTTAAAGATATTAGTTATAATCGATAATGCGCCAGAAACTGGCATCGTTGTCTTTTTCGTCAAACGCCGATGCTTTTAAAATTTAAATCAGTCTCTTCCTACGCGAACTAAACTAGCGATAAATTTGAATTTCTAATCTTTTCCGACCGTCAAAGAAGAATCTAAATATGGTTCCAGTTACGTAACTTTCCACGCGTACATCGAAAAAGATCTCACTTATAACTTGGAAAAACTTTCCTTGTTAACATTTTTTTTTTCTCAATTTTGTAACTCCATCCCAATATCCTGGCAATTTTTACGTCGTTGACTACAACATTCACCTATACAATCTCAACACGCTTCTCGACCGAGTGGGTTTTCAATTATCCCCTGGTCTTTTGTACCAATCCGCCTATGGATCGACTCGGTATGTACTATATACCCAGTACCACCAGCGTAGTTGGGTATTATTTCGAGCTTGGACGCATTGCGCAAATTGTCTCCGGGGACAAAACGAAAAGCTCTTTTTCTTTCACCGACATCGCTTCGCAAAATGCATCATCACCGTAACGTTGCAATAAATAACGGAGACGAAACGTTTTCTTTTATTTAGCCGGTAGACAATTGAACGGTATCGATTTAAAGTTATACAACGAATTAGAGGGGCGTCGCGACGCCACCGTAATTGACGTGTCCGACGCAGGTGCGCCGAATGTGTCCCCTCCACTTCACGATCTAAACGGGGATAGTATCATTAAAACTGCATCTTAGAACCCTCTCGTTTCACCTCAAGGCTTGCCCTAATTTTACAAGGACAACAACGACCTCACCATGATACACAATGAGAAAGTTAATGGAATTTTATTTTTTTGCCATTCAAATTTCTATTTCTCATTTTCGGCTAACTCCATCGCTGATTGTGCATCAACAGCGGTCAAATCCACCATGCATTAAGGTACTTAGCATCTTATAGGAAAGCTGAATGTTGTTGTATTAGGACACATAGGACGTTACGCCAAAATAAAGTTCTGTTCTTCTATTAAGTTCCCAAATTTTATACAACTCTGGCTGTTCATTTAGGAGTAAATTCAGTTTACCAGATTTTTGTTCCACTCTGGCTTTCTCGTCAAAGTAATTAAGTTTAGCACAAGCTTCTTTGTGAAGAATTTAAAATTGCTAAAATTTTTGACATTTGAGAGTGAGCTATGCAACCAAATTGATTCTCATAGAATGCTTTACGATTTTAGGTATTCTTTGATCATGGATTTGATAAATTAGATATTTCAGAAACTATGATGGAGGCAGGATGAGGATGTAGGGCTATCCTTTAGATTTTAGATACACGACATCTAACTAATTAAAGTTGCAAAAATTGCTAACCCTAAGCTTGGTGTTGATTGACTCTACATTAAGACCTCAACAACTTCAAAACCTTATTATACATTTTATATTGCCATTTGCATCTTCTCAACTCTTTCGATACGGATAGTGCTTTAGACTTTGCTACTGATATTGTCATATGGTACTTGGTAGTTGTTTTTTCTGAAAGAGCATTCTCTGCAGGTTGTCCTCGACCTCCGAGATTAACACTGTGTGTATTAGTGGTGGAACGGATATCCGGCAACTATCCGGCCATTTTTTAAAACCCGGTTACCAAATAACCGGCTTTGGCCGAATATTAAAAACCTATTACTTAGGACTCCACCATTCACAGGAATTAGTATCTCTTTCAGGTGTTGGGCACTGCAGATAATAATCAAGTTCAACCCCAATAGGACATTTTTCATTGAATACAACTTTATTTATATCAGGTTTGTCTTTAGCAACCTCATTGTAACAATCCCAATACGAGATACAAAATCTCTTGTTGCAGTTTCGTCTAGCTTCCTTCTCTTCTCTTGTAATTCATCGTCACATTCATTATTAACAAAACTGTCGTTGTTATCACTTTCGATTATTAATTAAAGCATCCTCTTCTTAATGCGAAAATCCGTTTTAAAGAATCACCTTCAGTTCTTGAGAAATAAATTTTTGAAATAATCGACAATTTTTTCGAATTTTTCCATTTTAGCCGGTTAAGTTTTAAAAATTCATATAAAATCCATTTCTTGGAATATTGGTATGAAAATTTCCCAAAGTGTGAATAAAAGTGTCCTCTTTCCAATGATCCAACCCGTTTTTAAAAATAACTTTTAGTTTTTGAGAAAACAATATTTAAAGTATTGATAAAATTTTCGATGTTGCAATTTTTATCGATAATTTTAAAATTCGCTATAAAATTAATTCCTTGAAAGATCCTTGTGAAAATATCACCAATTATTAATTAAAGTATCCTCTTTTTAATGCAAAGAGGTGTTTTGAAAAATCACTTTTAGTTCTTGAGAAATAAATTTTTGAAATAATTGATAATTTTTTCGAATTTTGCAATTTTCGCCGATTAAGTTTTAAAAATTCGTATAAAAGCCATTTCTTGGAATATGAGTTTGAAAATTTGCCAAAGTGTTAATAAAAGTGTCCTCTTTCCAATGAACCAACCCGTTTTGAAAAATAACTTTTAGTTTTTGAGAAAACAATATTTGAAGTTTTGATAAAATTTTCGATGTTGCAATTTTCATCGATAATTTTCAAAATTCGCTATAAAATTAATTTCTTGAAGGATCCTTGTGGAAATATCACCAATTATTAATTAAAGTATCCTCTTTTTAATGCAAAAAGCCGTTTTGAAAAATCACTTTTAGTTCTTGAGAAATAAATTTTTGAAATAATCGACAATTTTTTCGAATTTTGCAATTTTCGCCGATTAAGTTTTAAAAATTCGTATAAAATCCATTTCTTGGAATATAAGTTTGAAAATTTCCCAAAGTGTTAATAAAAGTGTCCTCTTTCCAATAAACCAACAGGTTTTGAAAAATAACTTTTAGTTTTTGAGAAAACGATATTTGAAGTTTTAATAAAATGTTCGATGTTGCAATTTTCATCGATAACTTTCAAAATTTGCTATAAAATTAATTTCTTGAAGGATCCTTGCGGAAATATCGCCAATTATTAATTAAAATATCCTCTTTTTAGTGCAAAAAGCCGTTTTGAAAAATCACTTTTAGTTCTTGAGTAAAATATTTTTGAAATAATCGACAACTTTTTCGAATTTTGCAATTTTCGCCGATTAAGATTTAAAAATTCGTATAAAATCCATTTCTTGGAATATGAGTTTGAAAATTTCCCAAAGTGTTAATAAGAGTGTCCTCTTTCCAATGAACCAATACGATTTCAAAAATATCTTTTAGTTTTTGAGAAAACAATATTTGAAGTTTTGATAAAATTTTCGATGTTACAATTTTCAAAATTCGCTATAAAATTAATTTCTTCAAGGATCCTTGTGGAAATACCACCAATTATTAATTAAAGTATCATCTTTTTAATGCAAAAAGCCGTTTTGATAAATCACTTTTAGTTCTTGAGAAATAAATTTTTTAAATAAACGACTATTTTTTGGAATTTTACAATTTTTGTCGATTAAGTTATAAAAATTCGTATAAAATCCATTTCTTGGAATCTGAGTATGAAAATTTCCCAAAGTGTTAATAAAACTGTCATCTTTCCAATGAACCAACCCGTTTTGAAAAATAACCTTTAGTTTTTGAGAAAACAATATTTTAAACGCCATTCGTAAGATCTATGAAACACATGTAATATGGTGTTGTATTCTATAGGTTTTTCCACGATCTGTCTGATTGCAAAAATTTCTTCTTCCAGAATTTTTGTGAACAGCTTTAGCACTTAATTTGATTGATAATACATCAAAATAATACATTAATGTATCTCTTTATTGCAGATTTTCAAAAGTTAGAAAGAGAAGCAAGAATATGCAGGAAATTGCAGCATCCAAATATAGGTAAGTCAAAATATCATTTAATTAACAATTTTAATAATTTGAACCTCTTCAAAAATACTTACATTCACTGATTATTATCATTATTGGCACTAATTTTAGTTTTCAAACGACGATTAGATTATTTTCTTAACTACCGCACATTTTGATACGTTAATATTCGGCTTTTCGGTTTTAAAATTTTATTATTTACCACCATTATCTAGATCAAGGTTAAAAGGACTAATTATTGCTTTTAATTGAATACAGTGAGCAACCCAGAAGTTCTCAAACATTTAGGTAATCGCCTCTCACATTATTAACAGTTTATTTTGAGCATTTTTTCATTATTTTTTTTACGAATATATATATATACAGGATAAGTCTCGATAATAAAATATAAATTAAAAAAAAAATTGTAGTCATTATCCAAACTCACCCTGTATAATTTATTTTTAATATTTAAAAAATATCATTGTCATCATTCCTTGCGTTATATTTTTCTTTACAATCTATTTATTCTCTAGTTCTTGCATGAATTAAAGAAATTAGAATAAGAATTGGTATTTATTGCCCAAACGCTTTAGCTTTATTAAAAAGGAAGAAATACATAGTTTTTATCCAGCTCAATTTATTACCGTTATTAGTAATTACTTTAAAAGCCTAATCATTTATTTAGGCTAATTCGTGTCGTTTTAATGAATCGAATGGGGAAATAAAAATAAATGACATAATAAAGAATTAATTCGTAATTATGTGATGGATAAAACTATGTTATTAAAAATTTTAAATAATTTTTAGCTGATGTTGTTGTCTTGCACGTGTTTCTCTTCGTTCGTTCTCTTTTATTTAGATGTGGCATGTTAGTACCCTTTTCTGTGTCCGTTCAGGATTCGACCTTATACAAAGCGAAAAAACCCCTCCTGAATATTTGATGCCACGGATAACACCGGGCTGAAACCGCCCCGTTTTGGTATCGATTGCTAGAATCGTTCTGTTCTGGATAGAAAAATAACGAAAAGTCATTTTTATACGAGACACGATGATGCTTTTTTTCCTTTAATTTGAAACAATGTTCCTTAATGTTCTTTGTGTTCTTTAAACCTGTTTAAAACTTTAAAACTCATTGCGAAACACTTAAAAATGAACAGGTTCATTGAATACGGTTATTTCTTTTTTATGTTGCGTGTTAATGGGTTATTTAGGTTGTTTAGGATAGAAGATGATGACCGCTTTTGGTTAATTATTGTTACTACTTTTAGAAATGGTTTTTATTTATGAAAATGGACTTATTATTATTTTTTCTTATTTATTTCATTACTTTTTTTGTGGATGTCGCTTTAAGTTGACATAATTTGTTGATCGAATTTATTTTTTAGATCATCATTTCTTTTAAAACTCATCATTAAATGAATTCAAAACGAATTATCAACGTTATGATATATTTCTTGCATAAATAATGGGAAATTAATATGGAGATTTTTATTAATTTGGTGTTAAGTTAAAAAAATGATACCTTTTAAAATTTTTTAGGCGTTGAAAAATTTACATAAACGCTTCGATAAAACGTGAGCTGCGTGGTAAAAAAAGTTCCTTTCGTGCGAAAAAGGTTAAAAAAAATTTAATACCCTTTCTAATTACAGATACAATTTCACCCCTTTTTTGTGCTGTTTAATTATTTTGGCTACGTTTACTTTTTTTTGTCTACGTAATTAATAAATGTAATTTTTTATTCGTATTAAAACGACGTTTAAAGATTCTGTGAGATCAATTTCGTCTTCAATGTTTTAAAACTTTGCTCATCAATATGTTGAAATTGGAGATGTTCACTAATTTCTTGAGATAAGCTTGTAAAATGATTTCTATGTGCTTTATAAAATCAAGAAAGTTCACACTAATACTTTAAGAAGCTTTATTTTCGAACCTTACTTTCTGGATTGTAAAAGACAAACTTTTTTACATGTCATTATTAAAAATTTTTTTTCCTGGGAAGTATTGGAAATTAAGGAATGAAATTTTTTGAGGTTAAAGTTGAAGAAATTGTCTTTCTTTTGTTGCAAACCCGACGTTTCTAGGATGTTTCATTTCTTAGTTAAGAATTCTTAAATTTACTATAACCTAAAATCACAAAATGGCAATTTTTTGACGTCATTATTAAAAAATTTTTTTCGTGGAAACTATTGGAAATTAAGGAATGAAATTATTTGAGGTTATCATTGAAGAAATTGTCTTTATTTTGTTACATAGCCGACATTTCTAGGATGTTTCATTTCTTAGTAAAGAATTTTCAAATGTACTGTAACCTAAAATCTCAAAATGGTACATTTTTTGACATGTCATTATTTAAAAGCTTTTTTCCTGGAAGCTCTTGGAAGTTAAGGGATGAAATTTGTTGAGGTTATAGTTGAGGAAACTGTCTTTATTTTGTTACAAACCCGACATTTTTAGAATGTTTCATTTCTTAGTTAAGAATTCTTAAATCTACTATAACCTAAAATTACCAAGTGATAAACTTTTTGACTTGTCATGATTAAAAAATTTTTTTCCTGGAAACTATTGGAAATTAAGGAATGAAATTTTTTGAGGTTATAGTTGAAGAAATTGCCTTTATTTTGTTACTAACCCGACATTTCTAGGATGTTCCATTTCTTAGTAAAGAACTCTTAAATCTACTATAACTTAAAATCACAAAATGGTAAATTTTTTGACATGTCATGATTAAACAAATTTTTTCCTGGAAACTATTGGAAATTAAGGAATGAAATTTTTTGAGGTTATAGTTGAAGAAATTGTCTTTATTTTGTTACAAACCCGACATTTCTAGGATGTTTCATTTCTTAGTTAAGAACTCTTAAATCTACTATAACTTAAAATCACAAAATGGTAAATTTTTTGACATGTCATGATTAAAAAAATTTTTTCCTGGAAACTATTGGAAATTAAGGAATGAAATTTTTTGAGGTTATAGTTGAAGAAATTGTCTTTATTTTGTTACAAACCCGACATTTCTGGGATGTTTCATTTCTTAGTTAAGAACTCTTAAATCTACTATAACTTAAAATCACAAAATGGTAAATTTTTTGACATGTCGTGATTAAAAAAATTTTTTCCTGGAAACTATTGGCAATTAAGGAATGAAAGTTTTTGAGGTTATAATTGAAGAAATTGTCTTTATTTTGTTACAAATCCTACATTTCTAGGATGTTTCATTTCTTAGTTAAGAATTCTTAAATCTACTATAATCTAAAATGACAAAAAGCATAATTTTTTGACATGTCATGATTAAAAATTTTTTTTTCTGGAAACTATTGGAAATTAAGGAATGAAATTTTTTGAGGTTATAGTTGAAGAAATTGTCTTTATTTTGTTACAAACCCGACATTTCTAGGATGTTTCATTTCTTAGTTAAGAATTCTTAAATCTACTATAATCTAAAATGACAAAAAGCATAATTTTTTGACATGTCATTATTAAAAATTTTTTTCGTCGAAACTATTGGAAATTAAGGAATGCATTTTTTTGAAGTTATAGTTGAGGAAATTACCTTTATTTCGTTACAACCCCGACATTTCTAGGATGTTTCATTTCTTAGTTAAGAATTCTTAAATCTACTATAACTTAAAATGACAAAATGCAAAATTTTTTGACATGTCATGATTAAACATTTTTTTTCGTGGAAACTATTGGAAATTAAGGAATGAAAGTTTTTGAGGTTATAATTGAAGAAGTTTCCTTTGTTTTGTTACAAACCCGACAATTCTAGGATGTTTCATTTCTTAGTTATGAATAATTAAATCTGCTATAACCTAAAATTACCAAATGATAATTTTTTTTACGTCATTATTAAAAAAAAATTTTCCTGGAAACTTGGAAATTAAGGAATGAAAGTTTTTGAGGTTATCGTTGAGGAAATTGTCTTTATTTTGTTACATATCCCACATTTCTAGGATGTTTAATTTTTTAGTAAAATATTCTTAAATCTATTTTAACCTAAAATCACAAAATGGCAATTTTTTGACATGTCATTATTAAAGAATTTTTTCTTTGGAAAGTATTGGAAATTAAGGAATGAAAGTTCTTGAGGTTATAGTTGAAGAAATTGCCTTTATTTTGTTAGAAACCCGTCATTTCTAGGATGTTTAATTTCTTAGTTATGAATTCTTAAATCTGCTATAACCTAAAATTACAAAATAGTAAATTTTTTGTTGTTATTATTAAAAAATTTTTTTCCGTGAAACTATTGGAAATGAAGGAATATAATTTGTTGAGGTTATAGTTGAGGAAATTGTCTTTATTTTGTTACCAACCCGACCTTTCTAGGATGTTTCATTTCTTAGTTAATAATTCTTAAATCTACTATAACCTAAAATCCCAAGTTTGCAATTTGTTTGACATGTCATTATTAAAAAATGTTTTCCGTGGAAACTATTGGAAATTAAGGAATGAAATTTTTTGAGGTTATAGCTGAAGAAATTGTCTTNAAGGAATGAAATTATTTGAGGTTATCATTGAAGAAATTGTCTTTATTTTGTTACATAGCCGACATTTCTAGGATGTTTCATTTCTTAGTAAAGAATTTTCAAATGTACTGTAACCTAAAATCTCAAAATGGTACATTTTTTGACATGTCATTATTTAAAAGCTTTTTTCCTGGAAGCTCTTGGAAATTAAGGGATGAAATTTGTTGAGGTTATAGTTGAGGAAACTGTCTTTATTTTGTTACAAACCCGACATTTCTAGAATGTTTCATTTCTTAGTTAAGAATTCTTAAATCTACTATAACCTAAAATTGCCAAGTGATAAATTTTTTGACATGTCATGATTAAAAACTTTTTTTCCTGGAAACTATTGGAAATTAAGGAATGCAATTTTTTGAAGTTATAATTGAAGAAATTGTCTTTATTTTGTTACCAACCCGACCTTTCTAGGATGTTTCATTTCTTATTTAAGAATTCTTAAATCTACTATAACCTAAAATCCCAAGTTTACAATTTGTTTGACATGTCATTATTAAAAAATGTTTTCCGTGGAAACTATTGGAAATTAAGGAATGAAATTTTTTGAGGTTATAGCTGAAGAAATTGTCTTTATTTTGTTACAAACCCGACATTTCTAGAATGTTACATTTCTTAGTTAAGAATTCTTAAATCTGTTATAACCTAAAGTCACAAAATGGTAAATTTATTGACATGTCATGATTAAAAAATTTTTTTCCTGGAAACTATTAAAAATTGATTAATGAATTTTTTTGAACTTATAGTTGAGGAAATTGTCTTTATTTTGTTACAAACCCGACATTT